CATGGTTTGTGAGCAGCAAGTCTAGAAGAGCTCTGCCCCTAGTTGGTTCCTCCAGCACTTGCACCAGGAAATTGTCCCCTCCACTTTCCCAAAACTTCCTGGATTGTCTGTGCACCACTGTATTGCTCTCCCAGCAGATATCAGGGTGATTAAAGTCTCCCATGAGAACCAGGGCCTGCGATCTAGTAACTTCTGCTAGTTGCCGGAAGAAAGCCTCGTCCACCTCATGTGCTGAAGGGGAGGGTAGGCATGCATCTGCTCAATCTATAGTGTTATGAGGGACTTCAGCATCTTAGTTTGCTCCTCCATAACTTTAATCATCCTCTTAGTAGTGTCCTTAACAAGGCCTAATTTTCTTTTCTGTCCTGCCTTTTGATTTCCCCCCACTCCATGCATTCCCTCTTTTCTGCATCTGAGTATTGCAGCAGCTCCCAGAACATGTCCTCCTTGCTCCGTCTTGGGCATTTACTTATCTGATGGAGGCGCTCTGCTGGTGTGTTGGGGATGTCTCTGAAGGCTACATCTGCAGAAGCACAAGGAACAATACACAGAAACATGATTGTTAAGTACATGCTGTGACAAAGTTCCTCCTCTATCTTGGTGGGTCCTGCGCTTATTGGCGGATTTTCTTGCCTCAGAGATTCACCAGGTAGGTTGGGGAACAGCCCAGAGACCTTCCCCTCTGGGAGAACCCACAGTCCAGGTCAATTGGGAGGTTTGGGGGGAACCCGGGTCCGCCCTCTACTCCAGGTTCCAGCCCAGGGCCCTGTGGACTGCAGCTGTCTATAGTGCCTCCTGTAACAGCTGCATGACAGCTACAACTCCCTGGGCTACTTCCCCATGGCCTCCTCCAAACACCTTCCTTATTCTCACCACAGGACCTTCCTCCTGGTGTCTGATAACGCTTGTGCTCCTCAGTCCTCCAGCAGCACACCCTCTCACTCTCAGCTCCTTGCGCCTCTTGCTCCCAGCTCCTCACACTCCCCCCACAAACTGAAGTGAGCTCCTTTTTAAAACCCAGGTGCCCTGATTAGCCTGCCTTAATTGATTCTAGAAGCTTCTTTTTAATTGGCTCCAGGTGTCCTAATTAGCCTGCCTGCCTTAACTGGTTCTAGCAGGTTCCTGATTACTCTAGTGCAGCCCCTTCTCTGGTCACTCAGGGAACAGAAAACTATTCATCCAGTGACCAGTATATTTGCCCTCTACCAGACTCCTGTACCCCACTGGTCTGGGTCTGTCACAATGCACAGCATGGAAACAGTACAGTAAAATACACCTCTAATAACATACCAATCACTTTCTCACTGACCCTTGACACACACGTTGGCGAACACCCCAAGCTTGGTGAGTTTACCCTCGGACAGAGGGCATTCTACATGGGGAGAAAAGCAATATGAAAGGGTTGATGGGCAGGTGCCTAGGGACAATATTCTAAATTTTCCCACCCTTTTCCACAGGCAGGGGTCATTGTACCAGATATCTCACTCCTGAGGGTATGCAAGGAAGCAAGGGTGCATCTAGTGCACAGTTGTGGCTGCTGACCCAGTCCCTATTCTGCTCATCTGTGTGACGCTTTGGTCCCTGTGTAAGTGATTGCAGAATGGCACGGCAAAGTTTCCTTCAATGGGGGAAGGAACAAAGCAGCTCTGCCAAGGAACCATTGGCAGAGGATTGCTGGGTACCTCCAGGAAACTTTCCTAGAGATCTCTCTGGAGGATTCCCGTGAAATCTCAGTGTGCATCAACACCCTGTTCCGCTGTACTTCTTAGCTGCTCAAGGATATGTCCAGCACACAGAAACACAGCCAGCCTTGTACATTTCTATGCCCTCAACCCACCTCCGCACTTCACAAAGCAAAGCCACTTACCAAGCGTCTCCTCTCCTGCTTCTTGCTCACTGGAGTGCGACTGCCGAGACTGGCTAGACACCTCCAGAGTGGAGAACAGCTCCTGACTGGACACACCACCGGGCAACCCCGCAGTGGGCTCCACATCATCTTCTAATTCCGCCTCTTCTTCAATGGCTTCGTCCTTTGGGCTAGGTCCACTTTCCGCCAGCTCCAGGATCAGTGAAGTATCCACGGGGCTCTTGGCACTGGAGGTGGGGTCGCCACCGAGGATAGCACCCAGCTCCTTATAGAAACGGCAGGTCTTTGACGCAGCACTGGAGTGACAGTTTGCCTCCCTTGCCTTCTGGGGCCTGCCTCAGCTCCTTGGTCTTTGCTCTGCACTGCACCATGTCCTGATCATAGACCTTTTCGCACAACCCTCGAGAAATCTGCCCGTAAGTATAGAAATTCCTACGGCTGGAGTGCAGCTGGGACTGCACCGCCTCCTCTCCCCATATACTGATCAGATCCAGCAGCTCCGCAGTGGTCCAAGCGGGAGAGTGTCTGCTGTGTGGAGCCGTCATGGTCAGCTGGGAAGGTGCGATGTGAGCTCTCCACACCGAGCAAACAAAACAAAATTCCCGGGGCTTTGAAGGGCAAGGGGCAGATGGTTGTTTACCTGGCTGCAGGGCAGCGGAATTGGAACTGCTGACCACAGTGGTCAAGATGGGCATTGTGGGACACCTTCTGGAGGCCAATTAAAGCGGTAAAATCACTGGCACTTTGTCGACAAAATTTTTGCACAAAAAGTTTTATGTCCCTCGTTGAGGTGGTTTTATTTTGTTGCCAAAACTAAAGAATTTTGCTGCCAAAGGTGGCATTGCAGTGTGTACACCTTCACTGTTTTGCCACCAAAAGCTGCCTTTTGCCAACAAAACTGTGTAGTGTAGAAAAGGCATAAGCTAATTAAATCCATTTATTCATGTCTCAATATCAGTGACATCATAACAGATTTTGAAAAGTCTTCACGATCCATCACTAACTTCGAGCACTCAGCAGCTGACCTTACAGTGATCTGCCGCACATCATCCATGCATCCATCTCCTTGCTGACCATGCCGTACTACGATGACCCTCCACCATTCCTTCCATAATAACTTTCTCAAGGTTATTTCCATCTCTATGCCTAATGTGACCAAAATATAGAAGTTTGACTCTGTTGATTTCCAACATCATGGTTTGTTGTTTCTCTCCAATAATATTTCTACATAACTAGCCTGCACTAATCTAGTCTCTACTCTCATTCATGTCAGCTGAAGGACCCAAGTCACCCTAATAACTCCCTTTGTCCCCTTCACAAACTTTGAGCTTGTAGTGGGGTGGTCCCCCGCTCCTGCCCGGAAGGGCTTAAAACAGCCCTGGCAGAGGGCTGGGGCAGGAGAAAAGATGGGCTGATTGGGGAAGTGGCCGCAGCTGGGCCACGCCCCAATCAGGCCACAGCTGGCCTGAATAAAAAGGCTGTGGGCCGGAGGCCCAAGAGAAGTCTCTCTCTTCCTTCCGGCTGGGAGAGAGCAGGGCCTGGCTGCCTGCAGGAAGGGTACTGGGAGTGAGGCAGGGCTGGGGAGACCCAGCGGAGCCGGGGAGCTCCAGGCTGGCAACTCCCCAAGGCCCATAGAGGTACTGGGAGGCAGAAGAAGGCAGCAGGTCCGAACCCCCTTGCTTATGATGAGTGGCTTTTACACTGCAGTCTGCCCCAGGGAGTGGGGGCTTAGTGATGACTGGCAGTAGCCCAGACTGAGGCAAGGTGGGGATTAGAGGGTTGGGGTTTCCCAGAGAGGGGAGACCCATAGAGAATGGTGGGGGTGTTGCGAGGGGGCAGCCCCCTGGTAAAGGGGCACCGGGGTCCGGGAGGGACACGGGACCAGCGACAAGTGGGACACCGGCCTGCAGAGGGCGCTCCAGAGGCTGAAAGAGCTAATTCCCTGAGAAGACCAGCAGAAGGCGCTGCAGGGGTGAGTCCCGCGCCTCTACAGAGCTGTAAATTAATTGTTAACGTCTGTTCATTCTCCAGTGCTTTGACCAATCTCTAACTCTTCCTTTGGAAGATTATTCCTTAGTGTGATACATCTCACCATTCATTACGAGCTTTTCTCTAGCAGTGATGGGGTGTACCAACCCTGCAGTGCCTGACCAATCACTGTGGGCACAGGAGACCACACCCTATCGCCCCTGCTGTGCATGCTCCAGGTGGAAGGGACAGATAAACGGAGGCAGGCCAGCTCAGTCTGGGCTGGCTGAGGAGGAGGAAGGACGTGTGCTGCAGGCTCCTGCGACTTTCCAAGCGGTAGGAACCATGGACCCGGACTATGCTGAGGATGACCAGCTGACCACAGAGACTGACTGGGATGCTGAGCCACTGCCAACCGAGGAGATGCCCGAAATGCACCTTGCAGAGGAAGTGACCCAGGGAATGTAATAGAAGCTGATGCTTAAACCCTTAACGGGGAATTTCCCAACTTCATAGGGCCCTGGGTCGGAACCCGGTGGAGTAGGGTAGGCCAAGGTTCCCCTACCTCCCACACACAAACCTGCCACTAGGCATGGTTAGTGTTTGCTGGCTCTGCCCCACCCAGGGGCCGCAGACTGATTGTTTGTTCTGCCCTGCCCAAGGGTCAGAACCACAACTGCTATTGCCTGCCCCAGCCAGGAGGCCCAGGGGCCACAGACTGTTTGCTTTGCTCTGCCCGACCCAGTGGCTGCGGACTGATTGTTTGCTCAGCCCCACCAGGGGTCCTGAGCCCTCCTTACTGGAATTGCCTGATCTCACAGGGAGACCTGACACTTGTGTGATGGGGTGTACCAACCTGGCACTGGGCCAATAGGGGAGGCCCCACGCGACACTAGCTTTTAGCCTAAGTTCTCCTTTTCTTAATTTCATTTCATCATTCTTAGTTATCCCTCCATTGTACTGATGTAAATCCAACATAACTCCATTGACTGCAGTGGAGTTGTTCTGTATTTACATTGGTGTAACTGAGATCAGAATTTGGTCCATGGTCTGCTCTCATTCTGTGCATGAAGGGAGAGATGACTACAGGAGCTGGGATCTGCCATGCAGATCTAGAAGGAGAATTTTCCCCTGAATGTTTAAGAAGACCCCTGAGCCTCCTTACCTGGTGTACTGGCTTCTGAGGATAGTAAAACTGAAGGTCTGGGTCCACAGCAGGGATGTTCCTGTTTGCCAGGGCTTTAGCCAGTTCCCTCCAGCTCCCATATCCTGCAAAGAGGAGGGGAAAAAAGATGTCAAAACCCACCTCAAAGAAAAAGAAGAAACAACAGTGATAACTTCAGGTTGCACCCTCTCCTTCTGGGGTTTTACAGTAATGGGAGCCTAAACCTCCCTCTTCCCCTGGAAATATTCAGCTTGGCCAGTCAGTGACACAACTCCTGCTTTGTTATTGTCCAGAATCTTTCATTCAAGGTGTTCAAAGTGCTGCACAAAAAGTTAACAAATCAAGTCTATCAGGACCCTGCTATTGAAGCCAGGCCTGCCAGCTCCTTAGGTGGCTTCCTTAGCCGCTGAACCATCGTGATACATTGAACCGGTGCCCCTAACCAACAGCCTTAGTGCTCAAGGCTTACAGGCCCACAGCAGCCATACCATAGGCCCCTGATTGGATGGTCAGGCTGCACTCTCAGTAGATACCTGGGCTATATAAAGGCCCCAACAGCAAGAGGAAGCTGTCTGAGCAACAGACCATTGCCTGCTGGTTGTTCCCTAGACCCCCTTGCCCTGCTGCGTCACCTGACCCTACCTTGCTGCCTTGCCTGACCTCGCCTCCCCAATCCAATGAACCGGCCCCTTGGATTGGATCTTCCGGCTATTGATGCCTGAGAGAACTCTGACCATTGCCCCAGATTGCTTCTGATATGAATTGACCTGCTGGCTACCTGACCATTGGCACATACTTGAGTACTGCTGCAGACTGCTCCCAATCCTGCCTCAGCCACCAGGCATTACAGTTTGCTCAGACCACTTCCATTTCCTCCTAGACTCATCTTACCTGAAAAGGGTATGGAAACTCACAGGTACGGCCAGGGGTGCTGGAACAATGTGTATAGTGCGGGTGCTGAGAGCCATTGAACCAAACTGTAAACCTTCTATATGATGGAAACCACTTCAAGCCAGGGGGTGCAGCAGCACCCCAGCATCTCTAGTTCCAGCATCTATGGGTATTGTGCCACAGGGGCCACTGAGCCTCCAGGAGCAGACTGCTCACCTAGAGGTGGAAAACCAAGCCTTATACGTCGCAGTGGACCAGCTTCAGGCAGGAAAATGCACCCTGCAAGAACAAATCATAGGGCCACAGGTGGGAACATCTCCTGCAGCCCCATGGTGCCATCAGGACCTGAACCCACAGTACTATTACCAGAGCTCTACAATGGGACCCGTAGCAAATTTGGGGGCTCCATTTCCTGCCATGGCCCAATGCCTACCAGATGGACCAGGCAAAAGTGGGACTAGTCATGATTTTCTAACAGGTGAGGGCCTGGACAGGGTGACTGCTCTGCTAGAGCACCTATGCCTACCCCTACGCTAGAGGCCTACACCTTCCTGAGGGCCATTATGACAATCTTCAATGACCCACACCAAGCTCACACCGCAGAGGCAGCCCTACAGAGACTCCATCAGGCCTTGGGGTCAGCTGTAACATATGCCGCCTGCTTCTGATTCCTGGCGGCGGATAGGGCTTGGAATAAGGCGGCCCAGCTACACCAATTCTGTCTTGCTCTCAGCGAAGAAATAAAAGATGAGCTTGCCTGCGTGGAGCCTCCCACTAATCTAGATTCATTTATTAAGCTGGGCCTCCAAATCGACACCAGACTTAGGGAATGGCATCTCGAAAGGAAAGGCCCCCCACCCAAGCCCACATAGGTGGACATGGCATGGACCTGGCTGAACCAATGGTGAGAGTACTTGTGTTTTTACTGTCGTGGCAATGGCCCCATGGTGTCTGTCTGTCTTGCTATGTCCCTGAACCACGTGGTTCCAGGAAACAACCATGCCCAGCCTTGGTAAGGGGGTCAAGCATGAGCAACATCGAGAAAACTCCTCTAAGCCCCCTCCAGCAATCCATTCTGGCTGCCTGGCCCAACATATTGAAAATGTACCTGCACCTACAACTCCAGTTACGACTCTGGCTTTGGGACTCCGGACAGATACTTCGGCCCCAGTGTCAGTCAGGGCCGTCTGAGGGGTGATAACTTAATGGACACTACCTTGGCTCAAGTACTCAGCCTATCCAAACAACCTAAGATAGCCCCTGATTTAGTTGAGACAGTTGATGGATCTTCACCTCCAGCCTCATCAGTCAGAAAACTATAGTTTTGGAGGTGATGGTTGGGAAGCACTATGAGCTTCTCCAATTTAGCCTGATCTGGTCCACACGGTTCCCTTTGATATTCAGAATCCCCTAACTAGAGAAATGTGACCCGTATATCTCCTGGTCTCAGCAAACCATTACATTTAATTCTAAGTTTTGCCAGGACATCTGCCTCCTGACTTCCAAGCTCGAGACTCCAGAACCTCAAGTTGGATGCCTTGCCTGAGCTTCAGCAACACGGAGAGATGTTCGGGCAACACAGCAGGCCTACTTGCTACTAGGGTCAACCATCACTCTCCGCAAAATACCAAGTTTTCAGACATATTCGAAAAACAAAACGGAGACACTACTTTCTCACAGGGAATACATCTGCCTGATTGACTTAGAGCCTGGAGCCAAGATTCTGTTCAGTTGAATGCATTCCATGTTGGAACACGAATTAGCTGTCCTTAAGGATTACAGAATCTGAGAATCTGGAGAAAAGTTTCCTCGAGCAGTCCACATCCCTGGCTGGGGCCCCTGTCCTCTTTATGAAAAGGAATCCTAGAATCATAGACTTTAAGGTTAGAAGGGACCGTTATGATCATCTAGTCTGACCTCCTGCACAACACAGGCCACAGAATCTCACCCACCCACTCCTGTATCAAACCCCTAACCTATGTCTGAGCTACTGAAATCCTCAAATCATGGTTTAAAAAGACTTCAAGGTGCAGAGACTCCTCCAGCAAGTGACCCATGCCCCATGCTGCAGAGGAAGGCGAAAAACCCCAGGGCCTCTGCCAATCTGACCTGGAGGAAAATTCCTTCCTGACCCCAAATATGGCAATCAGCTAAACCCTGAGCATGTGGGCAAGACTCACCAGCCAGACACCCAGGAAAGAATTCTCTGTAGTAACTCAGATCCCACCCCATCTAACATCCCATCACAGGCCATTGGGCATATTTACTGCTAATAGTCAAAGATCAATTATTTGCCAAAATTGGGCTATCCCATCATTCCATCCCTCCATAAACTTATCAAGCTTAGTCTTGAAGCAAGATGTCTTTTGCCCCCACTGCTCCCCTTGGAAGGCTGTTCCAGAACTTCACTCCTCTGATGGTTAGAAACCTTCGTCTAATTTCAAGTCTAAACTTCCTGATGGCCAATTTATATTCATTTGTTCTTGTGTCCATATTGGTACTGAGCTTAAATAATTCCTCTCCCTCCCTGGTATTTATTCCTCTGATATATTTGTAGAGAGCAATCATATCTCCCCTCAGCCTTCTTTTGGTTAGGCTAAACAAGCCAAGCTCTTTGAGTCTCCTTTCATAAGACAGGTTTTCCATTCCTCGGATCATCCTAGTAGCCCTTCTCTGTACCTGTTCCAGTTTGAATTCATCCTTCTTAAACATGGGAGACCAGAACTACACACAGTATTCCAGATGAGGTCTCACCAGTGCCTTGTATAACGGTACTAACACCTCCTTATCTCTACTGGAAATACCTCACCTGATGCATCCCAAGACCGCATTAGCTTTTTTTCACGGCCATATCACATTGGTGGCTCATAGTCATCCTGTGATCAACCAATACACCAAGGTCCTTCTCCTCCTCTGTTACTTCCAACTGATGCGTCCCCAACTTATAACCAAAATTCTTGTTATTAATCCCTAAATGCATGATCTTGCACTTTTCACTATTAAATTTCATCCTATTACTATTACTCCAGTTTACAAGGTCATCCAGATCTTCCTGTAGGATATCCCGGTCCTTCTCTGTATTGGTAATACCTCCCAGCTTTGTGTCATCCGCAAACTTTCCCACTTTTTGTGCCAAGGTCAGTAATAAAAAGATTAAATAAGATTGGTCCCAAAACGGATCACTGAGGAACTCCACTAGTAACCTCCCTCCAGCCTGACAGTTCACCTTTCAGTACGACCCGTTGTCGTCTCCCCTTTAACCAGTTCCTTATCCACCTTTCAATTTTCATATTGATCCCCATCTTTTCCAATTTAGCTAATAATTCCCCAGGTGGAACTGTATCAAATACCTTACTGAAATCGAGGTAAATTAGATCCACTGTTTCCTTTGTCTAAAAAATCTGTTACCTTCTCAAAGAAGATCAGGTTGGTTTGGCACGATCTACCTTTTGTAAAACCATGTAGTATTTTGTCCCAATTACCATTGACCTCACTGTCCTTAACTACTTTCTCCTTCAAAAATGTTTCCAAGACCTTGCATACTACAGATGTCAAACTAACAGGCCTGTAGTTACCCGGATCACTTTTTTCCCCCTTTCTTAAAAATAGGAACTATGTTAGTAATTCTCCAGTCATACGGTACAACCCCTGAGTTTACAGATTCATTAAAAATTCTTGCTAATGGGTTTGCAATTTCATGTGCTAGTTCCTTTAATATTCTTGGATGAAGATTATCTGGGCCCCCCGATTTAGTCCCATTAAACTGTTTGAGTTTGGCTTCTACCTCGGATGTGGTAATATCTATCTGCATATCCTCATTCCCATTTGTCATCCTACCATTATCCCTAAGCTCCTCATTAAAGACTGAGGCAAAGTATTTGTTTAGATATTGGGCCATGCCTAGATTATCCTTAACCTCCACTCCATCCTCAGTGTTTAGCGGTCCCACTTCTTTCTTTGTTTTCTTCTTATTTATATGACTATAGAACCTTTTACTATTGGTTTTAATTCCCTTTGCAAGGTCCAACTCTACATGGCTTTTGGCCTTTCTCACTTTATCCCTACATGTCCTGACCTCAATAAGGTAGCTTTCCTTGCTGATCACTCCCATCTTCCACTCCTTGTAGGCTTTCTGCTTTTTCTTAATCACCTCTCTGAGATGCTTGCTCATCCAGCTTGGTCTACAATTCCTGCCTATGAATTTTTCCCCCTT